GATGATGATGAGATTTATTTCTTATCGGGAAATCTGCCTTTCTCAATACACCAAAGCTGCTATTGGACTGGGGCCTCCTGAGGTCACAGTCAGTGATGTCTGCTTGCGATGATGATGATGATGATTTCTTATCGGGAAATCTGCCTTTCTCAATACACCAAAGCTGCTATTGGACTGGGGCCTCCTGAGGTCACAGTCAGTGACTCATGTCTGCTTGGCGTTTTAGGTCCTCTGCGTACTACGACAGTTTTAAGCATGCTACATGGTGTTGAGTGTTGATTCCTGCCGCTGACTTTCTCACCTGACTCAGTTTGACGGACGCTGTGCCTGATGCGCGGGTTTTGACGCGCCTTGAATAGCATACAACATTGTTTGTCCTTTCCTCGGTTGTTGGTCTTTACACGCGTGATTCCATACAAAACATTCTAACGTACCTTGGGATTTATCTTGTCTGACTGTAATTGTTTATGGCATTGCTTCGAATGGGACGCTTCTCTCTTATCTAATATTCTCCTGTAACCCTTGCACATCTATCGCTTGCATTTACTTTTTTATGTTTGCGACCATGCCCTTAAAAAATAAATGATAAAAAATAAGTAAGTAAGTAAATATGTAAGTAAGTAAGTTTCTCTCTTTTCTCCCATATTCTCCTGTTACTCTTTCGCATTCATCGCTTGCATTCATTTTTTATGTTTGTGACCATGCTCTTCAAAAATAAATGATAGTAAGTATGTAAGTAAGTAAGTAAGTAATAAGTAAGTGAGTAAGTAAGTAGGCAAACATTTAGCTATGTAGGTAAGTAAGGAAAGTAAGTAGGGAGTTAGTTGCAAGTAAGTAAATAAGTAAATAAATTCCTTCCGTAGTGAAATTATAGAACTTAGATAGCTTCCACCTGGCTAGCCTCCGCAAATCACCGACGGTGGGTAAAGTTACTCACTACACTAGAGGTTGAGTACGGATCAATTTGGTCATTTCATTCAAGCAACATTCGTCTTCCTAAATGTCGCGGCAGAGGGTTGGATGTGCCTTCTTCTAGAGGAGAGATGTACGGAAATTTGAAAAGTAGCAGCCTGTTGGACAGTAGATCGGTTGTTGGCCTTTTTCTCGCGTTCCTTCTGAAATAATTAAACCGAATTTTGTCGGACGCCACTGCGCTTGCTTCCATGTTACACCCGACTGATGGAAAACACGTTTTATTTCAACATATCTGCTTTTTGACATTCCAGTTCCGAGCTTCCGAAAAGCCTGTGTTGGCAATCCTTGAACATGGCGACTACAAACTCACCTGGACAGAACCGTTCTGTTCAAATGACCGGGTACTCCAACACCATTGGTAAGTTTGTAGGGACATCCACCGACTCCGGGTTACATTTGTCACTAGAAGTGTTTTCGCTTTGCGGTAGAATGTTTCGAATCATTATTCCACTCCTTGCGAATGGAATCGAATCTACTTTTATTCAGCAAGCGTCACCTCCTTTCGAAAATCAGGCTCAAAATTTACAAGAACGTCATTTTGATCAACAGGCGTAAACTGGTGAAAAAACAGGCCCGGCCTAATTATAGGACCTCTCTCATGGTTTTCTCTCATTGACGGAGGCTTTAGTACATGTTTCCTGCCTCAAACCATTTACAAATCATTCTGTCACACATGTCCAAAATGCATGGATGACGAGTACACAAACTCTTTCGCATCACTCTCTCAGACCGACCACAAGTTTTTGTTTGTGGTCACAAAAATTCGTTCAATTTTACTCTTAGAAGAGGATGTGGTGGGGCTTTAGCCAGGTCGAAAGTGGGGTTATTGGATGGCCAATTCAACATCTTCAAAAGGCGATGGATTGTCCCGCTAAATTACTTCACTCTTCTGAGCAATCCTGGCAAGTGATGACAGTCTGACAAACTCTTCGTCGGGATGTGAAAGCCACTTTAATAATCTTTTAGGCTGGATGCCAAGACGGTAAGTTTAAGAGAACAGTGGTTATTGTTGGTGAAACCGCGTGAAGGTGTGTACGAACCAGCAACCGTTGTTGAACAGCAAAAAAAGGAAACATTCGGATCTTCTCTGGTGAAACCTGAAGTTATTGAGGACCCCATTGGCCTCCATCAAGAAGCTCCCTCTCACTTGGCGTTTATAACTTCCAGTCTACCTTTTGACTTTAAGGTGCACTGCGCCTCGAAATTCACCCAGTTTAATATCCGTTCTTAAATTTGTATATTTTTGTAACGCACTACTCATAAGGTTGCTGAAAACTCGTCGACAGCCCATGACCAGTTTCGCCCTTCTTGGGGCTCATCAGGTAGGCGCAGTCCCCGAGTATCCGCCAACCTTATGTTCTACTTGAACACAAATTGCACGACATCAGCGAACTACACTCATTTGCAAACTAATTCGGTTTTTCAAGAGACTTACCTGGAACCCAGCTGAATCCATCGGTTTTGATATTTCCAGACAACTGAATGGGCTGCACCAGGCCGCCTCGCTACGATATTCGAGATATATATAGTCTAGAGATTCAGCTGGGTTCCAGGTGAGTCCCTCGGAAAACCAAATTAGTTTGCAAATGAGTGCATTTCGTTTTGGTATGCGTTTGTCGTCCGTTTTGTTTTACGCGTTCTGCCAAGCATGTGTGGAGCACACTCGGTCCTCGTTCTTGGCCAGTTCAAGAACTTCAGCGTTCGGGTTTCGATTATCATGCTGATTGCGAAGGATCTTGCCAGGGCGTGAAATTTGTCAGCCATTCTAAAATGCTGTCACTGAAGCGCCCGCTTCACTGTCATCATCATCATCATCATCATCATCATCATC